AATCAGTTAAAAAGATAATTCGCTGCACTAAGTCTCAATGATTGATGCAGAATGCACCTAACAATATCTTCAATTATAATGCCAAATTTATGAAATTTGAATGAAGGTAAATATAAAAGAAAAGAAATTAAATCCTTTACTATTTCATTAAGTATAAAAATCTTTTGTTTATTTATAATATATATGTTATTGATAATTCGATACGATTTTTTTTCTTTTTTTTTTCTTTACAAAAACTACCTGATCAAATATTTTATATTTTTATTTTGAATTTGATTAATTATTAAATACAGCCACTTCATATTCCAATTCATATCAATAACAACCACTTCATAAACATATTTAGAAATATATATATTAAACGTATATATAATCGCGCGAGTGTGTGATGTTGTTCTAAAAATAATAGATTATTGACAAAAAATATTATTTGAACACTGTAATATTTATTGAACTAAATGTCAAATAATAAAAGAAGAATTACAGTTCAAAAATTAAAGATGTTTAAATTCTCTCATAACTGTTTTTCGTCCTATTTGCCTCAATACTATTAAACTAATGATTTATATAATCTGTAAAATTATTGTGTAAGAATAAAATCTGTGACAGTATAAATATTATTTACAGGCAACTTGTAATCCAAAATATCTAGGATTGTACAGACTATTGTAATATTATTAGATATGCAACGCCTAAGACTTATAAACTATAACATTTCAATTCATTTTTTTTTTTTTTTTTTTTTTTTTTTTTTTATTTTATTATCAAAAAAGCTTTTATATTAATTATATTAAATGTAATTCTTGTAATGGAAGTATTATTAATATTAATATTAGTAATTAAATGATACTATGAAATATAGTGTTCATAGATTAATACGATTTATACGAATTTAAATTTAAAGGTTGTTTGTTAATAAAAATTTACATATAATTCTTGATTAATAGATTTAGATTTTTTGAATTTAATTTAATGTCCACTTTTTGATTATCAAGAAATTTTTATTTTACAGATATCTTGATCGAATACCACGAAACGAATATTTTCTATATTTCGTGCTTTCTTTTTCTTAAGATTAATTGTATTTGTTATCGTATTTGATAATTTTAAAATTAAAATTTAGTTATCCATTTCAATCTTGTTTTATTCTTGCTTTTTTAACGAAAAATATTTTAATAAACTATTGTTCTTCATTAAATATTGCTTAAACCTTATACGGGTCAAAGTGGATAATAAATTTCTCGTTTTATTTTCTTAATGAAAAGTGCGTATCCATTTTTTCAGTTGTATAATGAAATTAAATAATAATGTACCTAATTGATTAATGAAACTATCAAAGTTTTCTAAGAATTCAAATTAACATTCAGAAATTTATAAATACAATCGTCAATAATTTCTTATAAGGACCTTTTTTTTTTTTTTTTTTTTTTTTTTAAATATTCTTAAGGTCAATTTTAAAATAATTTAAAATTCATTTAACTATAAGTTCTTTTATATATTTATTCTTAAGGTCAATTTTAAAATAATTTAAAATTCATTTAACTCTAATTTCGATATCTTTAATATATTATAGAATTGATATTTCTTTTTATTCACTTTCAACTATCAATTTTAACGCTTAAGCTTTTGCAACTTACTACTCTAAATAATTTAATGCTAAGAGTTCAATTATGTCAATAAAATAGCATAAGTCAATTTCAAACGTTTAAAAAATAATTACATCTCTGCATTCTTTGAATTTGTATCTGTTTTCCATTGAATAAGTATGAAATTGCTGCAACCAATAATTTTCTACATAGGTTTTATTTTGTAGTCGGAAATACTTAGTATTTTATTGAAAATTTGCTTCTTTAGACGTTGAATAATTATAATAATTAGACGATAAGTTATTAGTCTCACATGCTATAAAATCACATTATAAATTAACAATATAAAATTAAACTTACCATCAAATTAATATGAGAATTTAGGAATTATAATATATTCTAATATATGTAATTAAAATTAAAATTTAAATATATATAATAAATCCAAGCGTTACAATATATATACACACACATACATATTATGATATTAAAAAAAAATGTAAATTCTAATCAGCCTTGTAATTAAGAAAGTGTAATAATTATTTTGAAAGCTTCAATACTAATAGAAATTATAAATAATTATACAACAATGTTTTACAATGTTATACAGCAATAATTACTGATCACAATGAAAAAATATATAAATACAATATAGCTATCGAAGTAAAAAAAATTAATGTATTTCTCTACATGTTTTTGTACCGATTATGTACAGAATAAATGTTAAATATATGATTGTTTGTTGAACAATATTGGAAGTTAACTAATAATGATTTAAATCATCGGTTAATTTAAGTTAATAGTTCAAATGAATAGTTTAAATGAATTTTAAATGAATTTAAGTTAATAGTTCAAATGAATAGTTTAAATGAAAACATCAATATTTAAAAACTGTGTTTTAATGATAAATTAGGTTATTAAAGTCACTATTAGCATGTAAATTAGTTTAATGTTTACACATTGTTTTAATTATCAAATATTTGCATAATATTAATATCAATGGAAGTTTCTTTTTTTTTTACGTTTATGTGCGGCAATAAAGTTATTTATTAAAGGTTTCGTAAAAAATTAATTCTTAAAAATATAAATAATCACATTTTCATGTAGATTAAAAGTATTATCATGAAATGTATAATTATTCGACATATTGTTAGATATTTTATAAAACTCAGTTTAAGGGATGAATTTAAATAAAAAATACAATGATATTACACAGAGATTTTACCTTATACAAATTTTAATGACAAAATTAAATAATTTTTTTTATTAAACATTCACGAGAATTATTATTAATAATTATTTCTAAAGTTTACTGATGTTTATTATTAAAGCTTCAGCTATATAACTTCAAGGTTCTTATGATGCGAAATTAATAAATATTGGAACGAAATTTCATAGGTTTTTAAAGACAAGAAAATTATGTTTCCACTAGAATTAAGTTTTTAAATAGATTAAAAAATGAAATAAATAAAATAATAATAATAATTACGTTCGAATCTGTCATTCACAGAATTTTTTAACAATATTAGATAAAATAAAATGCTATAATTAATAATGATATAAATAGTAGTTTATTAAGAAAATTGAGACTGAAAATAATCTCAAGTTTATCAATGATAATGAAACGCTTTTAAAACAAAATTAAATCCCTTGATAATTCAAATATTGTAAAATAAATTTAGCCTGAAAAATAGAATACGCATTCAAACAATTAATTGCCCGATCGTTCGATTGGGTATAAGACTGAATTTAAATCTAAAATCAAATCAAGCAATTTGTTTAAACTCTCGAATCTATATCACTTGTTTTCAAAACGTATATGTTTGTTGTCTTGCAAAAGAAGCGAAAGAGACGGTAATGGTACGTGGACGAGGTAGTGCAGGAAGGGTGATGGGGTAGAGAGAGAGAGAGAGAGAGAGTATGTGAGAGAGAGAGAGATAGAGAGAGAGAGAGGTAGATAGAGAGAGAGAGAGAGAGAGTGAGAGAGAGAGAGAGGTAGAGAGAGAGAGAGAGAGTATGTGCATATATTTTTATGTCTCCTTTATTCCTGTTTAGTAAACACTCGCACACACGTGGTGTAAGAAGAGAGGGTATGTTACATTACTCAAATGTATATATATATATATATATATATAAAATTTGGCATTTGAATAGGATAGATTGATAGATGTGTATGGATGGAAGAAGAAACGAAGAGTATCGCAGTATCGCAGTATTGCAGATAGTAGAAACGGATTTCTGTGCGCAAGGAGGGAGTTGCCTAATGTTAACGACGATGCATTATTGACGTAAGCTGACGGTCATCACTCGATGATAATCATTTGTTCCCTCTAATTTAATCAAAATCTCTCCTTCGAGGCCATTCCATTCCAGAGTCCGCTAAACTTTACCAATCCAATTGGCATATTATCGCTGGAATTGCTATCCAATAATGGCTTTTGACAGCTTATCAGGGCTTAAAGCGTGCCAATTATTTATGTAGCCTCGGTAAATACATCGATCCTAATTTATGGGGCTCGTTTCCGTCGTAGCCAAGATAGAAGAAGAGTAAGAGTAATATAAGAGTAAAGTTATGTATGGACTGGTTAGAGGCCTCAGGAGCCGGGCGGGGAGCGCTCAAAATTAACAAAAATAAGCAGACGACGCGCTCTATCCTTGCCGAATTGAGAAGGTGCGAGTAGGAGATGCGCGTGCAGAGGAGCGTGGAGGTGTTGGTGTTGGTAACTGGACAATAGCTTTGAATCCTTTGGCGCCAAAGCGAACGAGGAAGTTTATTCGTGGGGAAAGGGCGGAGGCCCCCGTCGCCGTCGCCGTCAGCCCCGGTGGTCAGGTTACGTACGACGCGCTAACGAGTGTCGCTGCCGCAAGGCGAGAGGAAGTGCTTATGCAGGTACGGTACGAGTCCAATAATATGCAGTCTCGCGACGACGTATTCTCGCGAGGCGCTCGCCGCGGTTGGGCTGCAGCCTGCAGTAGCCAAGCAGCGAACAGAGCGAGCGAGTGAGACGGAGGGAGCAGAGTAGAGCGAGCGAGACGGAGAGAGTAGAGAAGAGAGAGAGAGAGAGAGAGAGAGAGTGAGAGTGAGAGTGAGAGCGAGCGAGCGAGCGAGCGAGCGCTCGTATCGCCATCGCGTGTATATCGTATGTCGGTCGGAGGGCGCATACATCGAGAGGCGAGCGATAGCTTCTCTTTGGCCTGGCATCGCGCGAGTTGACGCTGATATTTACGTCGCGGTCGTCGGGAGGAAGCACCGAACGCTCGATTCAGGACTCTGACGGCTTTGTCCCGTGCCTTGGACGCTTATAACGGGTGAGTTGCCTGGATGGGAGTGTCCCCGAGGTCCTCGAGTGCGACGCGCCGAGCATCCTCGGGAAGCTCCTCGAGCTGCCTATCCATAAGCTTTGTTGGGCGCAGGCGCAGAGGCGCGTATTTCAAATCGCCTCGTCGATTTAGGCTTTCCAAGCTTTTAAGAAGCTCCGGCCAATTCCCAATTCCATTGCCCTTCGATCCTTCTCAATCTCCATTTCCTTCAGCCGCTTTAATTCCAAATTGCTTTACATCTCCTCGGAATTCATTGAATTTTCGTCCCCGTCCCCCTTCCTTTATTTCCCCTCCTACATTACGCTCTTTATGTGCATTAGTGTGCGCGCGTAGCTTCATTGGTATGTGTATCAGTTTTGCGAGATAGACGTTTTAAATCGTTTCGATAAAGTGATTCGCGAGTTTAATTCGAGGCTCTATTTATGATTGTCATAATAAACGACTGTGCCTTTGCATGTAGGTTATGCAGATACGTTGGCAATTAATAACGACCGTTTACGAATTAATAGTTTAAAATTAAATTCAATATTATTATTTTTTAACTATTATTTCATGCTATATTGAAAATTCAATTTTCAATTAATGAGATATACGTGTTACTGGGACACCGTTTAATTACACAGTTGTTAATTATTTACACTCCCTTGTTTTTTATTTCATTGCATTATGGATTGAGAGACTATTGCTTCCTTGGCAATAAGTTTCTTCCATAAATTGATTTTAAAATTTCAATCGGCTCTCCCACAACCAATGCACTAAATACCAATGAAATTATAATCAGAAGTTTTGAGCAATTTTTAGTTTACTTTAACTATTCTATAAGAGCTATTTAATATTTTAAACGAAGCTTGGCTTTGAATATCGTTAGGTACAATAATTATCTTATACCATTATTAAAGCGTATTTATAAATATACTTTATGGGCATAATCACAGAAAAATTTATCCCATATAATCGTTTAAGGTATGTTCATTTAAATATATATGTTTGCAATACAACTATGTCTATTACACTTGAATACATTTTTAATTCATAAACAATAACCTTAGCGAATCGTATTAATTATTTCATCTTTTTGTTTAAAGATGCGAGATGTCCTCAACGACGGTAGAACGCCCTACAAAAATAGGAGTCACTAATAAAAAAGAAAATGTAAATAACACCAAGGCAAAAAGAATTTCCAACGCTATACATAAGAAACACAAACACGAAGAGAATCGCCATTTCAAATTCGGACGTAAACGATTACAGAGCTTCACTAGTAATGGAAAGTTTTTTCCACCTTATAAGCGTAGAAAGAAAGAGGGTGGAATTATCCCTCCTACAAAGTTTCTGCTCGGCGGCAATATATGTGATCCATTAAATTTAAATAGTATGCAGGATGAGGAGGTGAATAGGGCTATGAACGCAGTTACACCAAAGTCAAGCCCATTGCCAACTCCAAAGCATAGGAAAGAAGCCATTGAAGTTATTATTCCACCTAATATATGCGATCCATTGAATCTCATTAATTGCAACGACGACGATGAGTATGAAAAGCAACTTATATCACCGGTTAAAAAAAATAACAAAAAGCGCAACAGGAAGAGGAAAAAAGCATCTAGTCCTGGAAAAGACGATATAAGCGAAGCTACAGAAATTAAGGATTCTATACCAATAGAGGAAGCGAAAGTCGAGGAAAGTATTGTAAATAAAATTTTAATAGAGCCGCAGAAACCGTCGTCTCCATTAAAGTCACCGCCGCAGGAGCCCCAGCAATCAAAAGTAGATCTTCAAGCGAAGGATAAAGTTAAATTACGACTCAAAGGCCTAGAAGAACCAAAAGATAAAAGATTAAGGAAACTAGATGTAAAAGATAAGATCGTTAGTCCTGTTATTCCTCAACCTGGTGCATGGAAGCCAAGATTGCAGCATCGGCCAAATCAAGATAAAAAGAAAAAAGCCCAATTACCGAATTTCAATAGTAAAAATGTAAGATATCAGTTTGGAAATTACAATAGATATTATGGATACAGAAATTTGCATCATAATGTGGATCCGAGGTTAACCGTGTTTGCTCAGAGAAAAGAACTCTTCTTTGGAAAAGACATTTTAGATATCGGTTGTAATATAGGCCACATTACACTTTCCATTGCAAGAGATTTTACAGCTCGTAGTGTAACTGGGATCGATATCGATAAAAAATTGATAAATGTCGCAAGAAAGAACGTTAAGCATTATGTGAATTGTGTTCAATCTCCAGTCAGTACCGAAGATGGAGATCATAGAGAATATGATACTAATTACTTTCCTATATCTATGCTTATTAATTATGGACCTGTAGATATACCTGGTTTTACAAAACATAATGATCATAAAGGTTTTCCGTATAATGTTACATTCGTTCAGGTAATCATTGACTTTACAAATATAGAAATTGAAAGGAACTTGATGAAATCTTAGAAATTTTCGTTCTCAGATATTAATGTTGCTAATATCTCATTACTATTATTATTATTATTATTATTGTTGTAATTATTATTATTTTTTATAGGGAAATTACGTATTAGAAGATGACGCCCTTCTATCGTCGGAGCAGCCTCAATTTGATATAATTTTGTGCTTGTCGATCACAAAGTGGATTCATTTGAATTTTGGCGATGCTGGACTAAAGCAAAGTTTTAAAAGAATGCATGCGCAGCTCAGACCTGGTGGAGTTTTAATACTGGAGCCCCAAAATTGGAGTAGTTACTCAAAAAAAAAATCATTGACTGTAAGTATAAAATTAATTTACCAAGGGCAATAAACATCTTTAGTCTGTATCTATTCGTTGATTTACTACTGCCAATATTATTTATTTAACTATTAGACTGTCTATTGTATTTTAAACATTAATATCATTCAAATATATATATGTACATGTGGTGTGAAAAGTATTTTAGAAACCAATAATATTACAGAAACCATATATTGCATAAAAGAAAACAAGAGGCAAACTAAATATTACGGATTATTTTTCAAATTATATATAACTTTAATGTATATATTATTTCAATTTTTCTTATTATATATATATATATTTCAATTTTTCTTATATATTTATCTTTCCTTAATATATATATATATATATATATATATATATATATATATATATATATATATTAAGGAAAGATAAATATATAAGAAAAATTGAAATATATATATATATATATATATATGGAAAATTATATAATTTGGATAAGGGTTGGTCAGGAAGTGTTCTGTTATAAAAAGATAAAAAAATTCAAATTTAAGAAATTGAAACGAAAGTTTTATAAATAACGACACTTTATAAATTTAGATATTTAATTAGTTTATATTGTCCCATTAGGTTGTCCCATACTCCAGCAATATTATTTTTATTATCCTTTGATCCCATCCTCGAACAATTCCAAGCGACTGATAAGCAAAGCTGACATTATTGAACATTTTCAGGAGAAAATCTACAAGAACTACCAAAGCATTGAATTCTTACCGCATAAGTTCACGCAGTACCTTCTCTCGTCGGAGGTGGGCTTTTGCAAGTGCGAGGTTGTCTCGGTGCCGCCCCACCCGTCAAAGGGCTTCCAGAGACCGATCTATTTGTATACGAAGGCTGACGTCGCGAGCCCGGCACCGGCCACTGCCGTAACACCCCGGACGACGGCGGCGAGCGTCGAGGGCACCCCGACCGAGGATGTCACGCCTATGGAGACGGTCTCGGTGTCGCGCAACGAGCGCAGGCATAGTCGCGAGCAGCAGGAGTACGACCGTAGGGAGTACGAGAGGGAGCTTTTCCCGATGAAGTTGCTCAAGGAGCCGTGGTTAGCACTGATTTTGTGACTCTTCGCGTTATTAACCGTCACATTCGTCAATTCATTGTCGTTTTAACTGACCGAGGTGGCTTTAAAAGCGATTACGGCCTTGAAAGCTCGACTGTTTGTTTTGGTATTCATTCGCCTATAATTCGCGACTTTCAATCACGTCTACTTTCTACTCGTGTCAAAGAACTTTAGCGATAACTTACTCGATTAACTTTTCGCGTTATTAAAAATGTTGGATGAACAAAGAGTTCTGCATGAGCTTTAACTTCGGTAGATCGAAAGTTTATAAACAAGCACTTTTAACGATATGAAATTAAAAAAAAAAAAAAAAAAAAAAAAAAAAAAAAACAACATAAAAAGAATTTAAATAAACGGAAAAATATTTAATTTTTTTAGTTTTAGTTCTGTTAATAAGAAAAGATTGCTTGGAAGAATTTATGTCATTCCTTATCTTAAATACATTTAACATCAGATATTCATTGGAAATTGAAGGGAAAAAATCCTGTTTATTAATATGAAATTGAATAAAGCCGCAATTATAGATCAATTATTAAACAACTTGCTAATAAAAAATATTAAAATAAATAATATAGATCAAAATGTACAATTATTTTAGCCTTTTATTTTAAATGTATGGTAATTCAAATGAACGCGATAAAACAGTAAATAATAGAAGTAAATAAGGCCAAAAGCGTTTCTAGTACTTGTTCATGTACCTTTGAATCTATGAATGATTAATTTGTCAAGATTAATTTTATCAGCATAGCATAACAAATACATTATTACATATATAATAAACAGTCAGAACTCCTAATTATTTTAATGCAGTTAGATAATAAAAAAATTCAATACTTTGAAATATAATATCTAGTGATGTGTGTTGTTAAGTAACATCGAACATTAGACGTTTCCTCATCTTTAAATATAATATTCTTTTATTACAATTTTAATGATAATTTTGCAGTATGCTAATTTTAAGCATATAATAATATCAAACTTATGAAGCATTAGAGCAGCGGGCTAAATACATTAATTTCTTATTATTTTTCTGGCTATAATTGTATTGGTAATGGCAGAAGAAAAAAAAAAGAAAAAAAAAAGTAAGAAAAATCCAAATAAATAAGCAGTAAATATGCAGCGAGCCAAAGAAAAAAGTCAATTTGAATTTGATAAGAATTATGTAGTAGTAGTAATAATAGTAATATAAGCATAAAATGTAAAAATCAACTAATATCGTTCGTTGTTCCTCATGTGGCATTTGCAATTTGCAAATTAACAACACCAGGGAAGGGGGAAATCAGTCGAGCACGAGCCAACGGAGCGGCGAGTCTCTGAGTCAGTACGAGCATCTCGAGAACGTGTATGCCCCAAGTGCAACCCCGTGTTACGACACACCGGTGCATAACGTGGAGGCTGCCCCGGATCCCGAAGATATGTGTTATCTCGACGTGAAGATCGAGCACGATCAGTGCCCTGATAGGAGCAGCGACGAGGAGAGGAAGCCACCGAGCGACGGTCGTCAGCAGAGGCCCGAGGGTACGCGGGACGGAAACACGTGAGCCGGCGAGCGTCGAATACCAGAGCGACTGATGGGGGCAAGCGGCTCTGGGGTCTCGTCTCCCCCTCGCCCGCACTATCACGCTCCAGCCCAATCCAGCCCACTCCAGTCCACCCCACCAGCCGCGAAAACGAACTTTTGCCGAGTTTCGTGGCTCGGGGTCGTTTTATTTTATTAAGATTGTTACTCGTAAGTAAAGAACGAAAATGAAAGAAAAGTGAAGGGAAATATAGAGGAGGAGAAGAGGATGACGAAGATGAGAAGGAGGATATAATGAAGAAGAGTCAATAATAATATGAGATGCAGGAGCAGCGGTTAAGGTGCGGAGACATTTGTGAGTGGGGGAGACCTTTGTGAATAAATCTCGCTGTACATGCGGTTATTAGTGGACGCGGTGTCACGTCTCGGAAATGGCTGTGGCCCCGCGGTGCTACTTTTTTTTTCACGTTCGATAAGATAGGAAAAACGGAGCGGGAAGTCAATTTGGTAAAGAAGCATCTGGTTGGACTGTAAAACACCTATTAATAAAATGAAGAAAGCGATTGTTCTAATAATACATGGCTAATTGGTCTTTATCCCATTCTTTCACACCACTCACTACTCATCTTCACTTTTATATTCATCGTATTTCCTTTATTTTGCAAGAATTAAAACATTCCTTGTGAACAAAGAGTTTTGATGTCGATAACTAATCTCTATCATTATTTGTTTACAATTTTTTCTTTTATAATTCATGAGGGTGCACCGTTGAGTTCTGTATGTATGTGAGATTTTATGCGTTTTCGTGATTGGCTTTTTGTTCTTTTATGAGCTACTTGCTTGCGTTGACCTGCAACTGCTTATACACATCTACGACTGAAGAATGTGTAAAGTACTCGTAAAGGAACAGGAGTGAGTTACATCGTTTTGGAGCTTGCGAGCATTTTATTTGGTAACGAGATAAAATAGTAAGTTAATACGTCGGAAACTGTTTTAGGAAATTCGCTTTAAATGTACATACGTGAAACGAAATTGTCATCACGCTAATATTGCTGAACTTTATAAGCATTATAAGGATAAGTAATTTATAAAATGATTAAAATAATGATAACGTATTGAATAAAAGCAAGTATTTAATGCAGTAACTTTTGAACTTGATTGGTAGTAGTATTTACTTGTCCCTTTGTTTTCAAAACTCATTCCTGTTCAATATATTTAGCAAAAATATGAAAAGAAATAAGAGGATGAAGGGCGCGGATCAAGTTGTTGTACTGCTGTAGTCTATAATACTAACGATATTATTTATGCTAATTTATAAGGTTAATATCATTAAGATTAATTTATTAACGAAGCGAGGCGCCAGCACCTCGCATTCAATCAAATATGTCATTTATTTATATATATATATATATATATATATATATATATATATATGTTTGTTTCTTTCTTTCATTACTTCACAAGAGGCCAAGTCACCCTAATATCTTCAAAAGTCAGTTAGTTTCGTGATGTTTGGTGATAGACGAAGAAAGCATTCGTGTCTATCGTTTATGGGAATAATCCTGGGACGTCGTTATCAAATCATTTTCACGCTCCATTGTACATATTAATGTACAAATAACATGATAATGTCTTGCAGATTACATACGCGTGTACAATTTCGGTATGAATTGTATATTATATATATATATATATATATATATATATATATATGTATTAAGTATTTTTCATATGATTAATTGAATTGAAAAACAAACAATTATGAGCTTATCTGAAACATTCTTAAATTATAAAATATTTATTTCTGCTCAACGAGTGACTTACGGTGCATAGACAAATTAGAAATGATTAATTATAAAAAGTTATTAAGCGCCCGTATCGATTATAATTATAAAAACAACATGTTATATAATTGCATAAATCTCAAAGAAATTTTTTATACAGAGATTTTTTTTTCCTTTTTCTTTTTTTGTTTTTTGTTTTTGTTTTTTTTTTTGTTTTTTTGTTTTTTAATTTAAATACTATTTTACGATCTTTTTAATTTTAAATTAATTTTAAGTATGAAAATTTCTGTTTGAAATTGTTTTACATAGATATTCTTATTAGCGCGTGAATTGTGATTTGTTGTATTGAGAGAAAATTCATCGTCGCAAATGTATTTGAGATCGTTTGCATTTAAAATTTATTTTTCATTAATTATTTCTACACTTTTATTTATAATTGAGTCAGTTTTTTACGATGGGATCAATAATTTTACTAAGTATATAATATAACTCAGATTATATACTATTGTTCATTGTGTTAATATTTTTAATAACTTTGCTAGTTAAAATTATGCGATAGTGAGATAGCGTATTATGCAAAAATATCGAAGTAAAAGGCAAATTATTTGCCGCAATACTAGATGTACTTTTCTATTATACTCGAAGCTTATTTTAGTTTTTGATAAATTTTTACATCTTTTTAACAAGGTGATCGATAAATAGTCAATACAACAACAATAAAATAGTTGCTCTTTTAAATATTCCCAGTAGCAAAGTTTTGCATGTTTGCAAAAGAATTTTTGTTTATAAATTTTATAATTTTTTCTTTGTTTTTCGTTTGTTTTCAAATACAGCACTTATAAAAGTTAATAAATATTGAAAAATACGATAGTTATTATTATTATAAATATTATTAAATATCTTTATAAATTTAATCAACGTGTTAATACTTAAATATTTGTGGGAATAGTATTTTCTTAGATAAAATCATGGTATTTTTGTCGTCATCACGCGGTCATCACAAAAAATCATCAGATATTATTTATTATACGATGAATATTGAAAGCATTGATTTTGAATCCGATTTGTTAATCGTTCGAACCGCTAACATTTCCTAAGTAGACGTTAGGGTGACTGACCTTGTCTTCCCATTAAAACATGTAAACATGCGGATTACGAAACTTCGAATAATAGCAAACGCGACTTACATTCGCTTTTAGAAATGTTTTTGCCTTGCTCGGGAGGTCTGTTGATGAAAATCGATATCATTCGGAGTTTCATTGGACAATTTCATCAGTGGCAGATGAACAATGGCAGAAGGTGTGAGTTCCTGATCTCACGACAAACGGTTCTACGATTTTACATGGAACGATTTTATACCGAACGCTGACCTTACATTTCTCAACGGTGTTGGTAATAAACTTCTTAATGTTATTTAATCCTACGATATATATATATATATATATATATATAATATAAATCTATTTTATAACAATCGTAATAATTGTTATCGTTATTATTGAAAATAACATCTTTTTTTTTTGATAGCTGGATAAGAAATTATGATGTATGTACGAGGCATATTTCGTTTTTATGGATTTTTGTTTATGACTGTGGCGAGAATTAATCTCATCATCATAATTTCTTCGCTGTTTTCTTTAAACTTTGGTGTTATTACTTATGTTATTGATGAAAATTTTTTTTTATTTTACTATTATATCGAAAGTTCTTTAACATTTTTAAGGAAAACTAATATATATATATATATATATATATATATATACATATATATTGTACAAATGAGTCGTAAGGAATAAATTAATGTTATTATTGTTTTAGTCAATTTTCATTTATATTGTTTATTTGAAGCGGGAAAACAATCTAGTTTCGTAAAAATATAGTGTATTCTTACGAAAATTAATTTTTAAGAATCTTAAATAAATTAGTAGAAGCTGTTTTTTTTATTTTGTTTTGTTTGTTTGTTTTTGTTTTTTGTTGTTGTTGTTTTTTTTTTTTTTTTTTTGAGAAAAAGAAAGAATAACGTTGATATCGATAACTGTGATATTGATTATTTAATGACTTTCATCGCGTCCAATTATCTTTTCTTTTTGACAACGAGATATTATATTATTCATTACAATGTATAACACTTATAATTACAAAGAATTGCCGAAAGCTTGCTATTTTAAAATTCTGTCTTGTATTTGATTCGGCTTCGTTTGTTGTTTTACTCGATGCTGGGCCACCGCCGAATAATCTGATAAATAAACTTGTATCATACAAACGAATAAGCGCTTGAAAGGCCGTTTGCGAAAGCTCTATTAGTTACAAAAAATATATATTAACATTTTGAAAAAATAAGATCCTTAATGCATCATCCGGTATTGGTACGCATTCGCGGCGGCTTAGTTAAATTGAAACAGCATAATAATCCAAGAGATCTCTCTCTCTCTCTCTCTCTCTCTCTCTCTCTCTCTCTCTCTTTTCTTAATGCTCATAACAAAATGCGTCTAAAGGAAATTAATCAAGCCAAGATCAAAGGTGTAAAAATTATTAACACATCAAGCCTTCTTCGCATATCGCTCTCCAAAGGCTAACTATAAAAAAATTCTTACAAATGTACAGTATGGGGAGTGAGGGAAGAAGGGAGGGGTGGGAGCGATGGGAACGTCGTGCAAAAGTACGGCCTTCGACAAGGGCCGGACGATGAGGAGAGCCGCGTGATGGTCTATTACCGGGTGATGATGGGTCACGACTCGGCTAGTTACACTCGGCCTGCTACTCGTCGACGAGCTCCCAGAGCATGAGGGCGGCGTCGGTGCCGCCTACGGTCACAACGTTCTGATCGTTGTAGAGGAAGCGCGAGCAGGCGACCAGCGAGCTGTAGACCTTCTCCTCGACGTACTCGGCCTTGGCGCTGGTGCAGGGGTAGCGGAAGAGCCGGAGGTAGCCTTCGGCGTCGCCGCTTACGAGCATGTCGTGGGCCGCCGAGCGACACGAGGTCGTCACCACCGTCGTCAGCGGGTAATAACGATTATTCCACATTCCTATAACAGCCGATTTCGTCACATTACTCTTTATTTCTTCGCTCTTTACCTTTTTGCGCATTTCGGCATTTCTGTGCCCCGATCCCTCGGGGACACTTTGATTTCGGACCATCATTAGAGCGTCCCTTGGGTTTTTTCTTATTAAGGGATCGGTGGAGTGGCGGGGAGTGGATGGGGATGGGAGTGGGGGATGGGGGTGGAAGAGGCGACGAGGTAGGCAACATTTGTGCATAAAATTGGCCATTTTACGCTCTTTATTTGTATAATGTATGCGCTTCATTTGATTTTTTCGTTCGTGGAAAAGTCGCGATTCGGGCTTTTCATTGGATCGATATCGTTTCGATCGAATGTTTCTTCTCGTTCTCTGATAAAAATTCAAATATCATGCAAGAATTTTCGTATTTCGCGATTTTAATCGTCTAATAAAAATGTCACGGCGTTTAGCTACTAATGGCCGTTACTTATTGCCGTGAATCAATTGTTAAATATTATTTGTTAGAATAAGTCATTTGATGGCCATTCGTTAGAAATTTTATTTATAATGGTTAAATGAATAAATTATACCCACCAGACACTAAATATCCAACGGTGCAGTTGTGCGTATACCATTTAACATCTTTCATAATTAGTGGACTCTTTTCCGAAGAGAGAGCCTTAACGTCCCCTGTGCAGCGAAAGAATAAAATTTTCATTTAAAATGTCATTCGCCTCTAAGGGCTAATGTATTAACTTGAAAAGCAATAAACTTACAAAATACAAGATCATAGTCTTGGGTGACCGTTTGTAAGAATCGACTATCGGAACTCCAATCGAGCTGCACAAGAGGCTGTGTGCCTCGGATTTTGTTGCTTTTCTTATACGAAAATCCATCTCTCGATACTCTAAATAAATAAACGCTGCCGTTTTGTGAGCCCATGGCCACCATTTCTCCAGCTATACAGAAATATTATCACTTATGCAATGAAATATCGCCTTATACGTTGGTTGTTCACTTTTGTACGACTTTACAATATGTGAAAAGCGCATGTACGATTGTACTATTTCGACGTTCTTCTTCTTTGCGCAATAACATTTTATTGTAATAATTAAGATAAAATTCGTTCGAAACTGATATCCCCTACTTACTGGGATTGTAGCCAATGCAGGAAAGGGGCGAGCCACAAACTCGGAGTGTAGCCACGGCAGCTCCTGTGTCCGCTGCGAGCACCAGGAGATGACCCTCGGAGGAGCCCGCGGCCAATGCCACACCGAATGGATGGAAGGCAATGCAGATACACTCGAAGCCGACCTTGAGTAAAAAATCATCCTCTTGTATATTACGACGGTGCTAATCGAGCTAATCGAGCTAATCGAGCTAATCGAGGATGCAAAATGAAATTCTCAATTGCCTCGGGCACACGCGTTAAAGAATACTCCTCGGGCATTTGCAATTGGTCGCAACTTTTTGCCCATTATAACGAATCAAAACGATATAAAGAAATAATACGATGAGATTTATATTGACGGAATGGTAATTATTCATCGGGTGTTGCAAAGAAAGCGATTACACGGTGACAAACCGTAATAATTTAGCCGTAAATTATTAAATAGTCGCGATTATTATTGTTTGGCCGTCGAGGAACGAGGCTTATAAATCTTTATCCTTGCTACAGCAATTGTTGTTGTTACGGTCGAAGCGACCTGGCCGATTTGTCGTATGCTTGTAATGTCGTTGAGAGACTCGCGGTGGCGCTAACCTGCGTAGTCCAGAGGAGCTTGTGCCGCCTCCAGAGCGCGATGTTCTTATCGTGGCCGGCGGTGGCGAAGACTTCGTCGTCCGGATGTACGGCCAGTCCCCAAAGCTGTCTGCCGTGGCCAAAGACGACCTGGTTGAAGCGCCGCTGGAGCGAGCCTTCGAGGATGTTGTTGCGAGTGGTGCCGACGTAGATGTTGCCGTCGTTCCTGCCCGGGCGTTGAGGGTAGATACTGCGCACGCCGCCCGCGGTTTCCGGTAGCTGAACAAACGACCGAGTACGGCATTATTATTTACACGCTGCCTTGATCAATGCTGCCTTCAATTGTTAATTGCTGCGTCTCAATTCCTGCGCAGCTCAAAGTCGCGCTAAGCCTCTAAGGTTTATTATCGGCTCGTTATTGTTGATGAAATGTTGATATGTTGTTGGGTATTTATCGTTGCTACGTCTTGCTTTGCGCTCGGCGCTCTCAAGGGCCATTAAAGTCTTAACAGCGTACAACGAGTCTTAAAGCACACTTGGTCTCTTTATTTTCGTTGGCTGTATCGGTAAATGTTGTAGCGTAAAATATGATTTACGAGTCAGCAAAGCAATAGTATTACCCTTTTATTCAACTAACCTATATTTCTATCAAGATTATTTGTGTATTAAAGTGACGCGACGAGCCATTTTCTAAATGAGAGGGACGAGACATTTTCTAAGCCGCACTAAATAAAAAGCGAAGCATTTTATTAATTAGCATGTATTCATGACGGCATTAATATTAGTCAAATAAATTATGGATAAATTTAAGAATAGAAAATAGCGAACGAGCCGCGTAGTGGACAATTTACCGTTTAGATAGAAAAAATTAAAAAAAATTTAAAAAAAAAAAAAAAAAAAAAAGAAAAAAAAAAGAAAGAAAGAAAGAAAGAATGAAAATCTACACTCCATTGACGCAAATTATGACGAATAATAAAAGCGGCACCTTAGTATCGGTGATGCGCTTGTAATTCTGCAACGAATCCCAGGCGGCGATTTTTCTGTCCTTCTCGCCGCCGGACAGCAGAGTACCCTCCGATAGCATAACCAGGGAGCTGATGCCCTTGTTGTGGGCCTCGAACTCCATTCTAATAAAGTAGGCACCGTCTGCATCGACCGAGTACACGGTTATGAAGCCGTCGCTGTCCGCTGTCACGACGTCGCCGTCTTGCTCGAACTGGATGCTCGTCACGTGCGTCCTTGACGGCTACGATCACAAGGTATTCGTGTCTTTACGCGCCATTTTCGCACAATTTTCAGTCAACTACGGGGCTTTACGTTAATTTGTTGAGCCGAGTGGCCGATTAGGATTAGGCCAATCGCAACTTGCGCTCTATTAAATGCCCCGACATTATCTTAGGATGCCATTTTCATCCATTCAATGGTATAGCTGACTGTTTAACATACCGAATAGGTAAAATGCCCTAATCCTAATAATAAAGCATTGCCGAAACAGCATTAAAAACGTTAAAAAGCGTAAATGTATTAAAGTCGCGCAGAATTTGCATAGAAAAAAAAAATAATAGAGTATTAATGAGATTAATTTTCATGATGTAGATAAAGAGGAATGAAAGTAAAACTAGAAGAAGAAATTAAATTAATATTGTAAGTAAATGGTTGAAGAGTTTAATTAACGAGGAGGTGCGTGGTAATCCCGTAACCAGATGAAGTTAGAAATCCTTTAATTGTCTTATGTTTTATGAGAATGGCGTATTCGAGTGTTTTTACGTTTGATTTATTTTACAATAAAATTCAAAATTTTATAAGATAATTGTCGAATGGCATTAAGGGGATGAAAATACGTGTACGTTACGGTAGTGTTAAATACGCTATATAAATTCCGTCGACTCGGTATATTCAATATGATTGCTCGATTAATTCATTAATTAATAATTAACAACGTTAATTAATCACTGTACCATCGCAACGTTAAAAAGGCTAGTTTTGCATTTATCGACATTGAAGGGGAAGGGTTGGAGGTGTGTGTGCTTAAAAGTTTGTGTGCGTGCGTGTGCGTGCGTGCGTGCGTGCGTGCGTGTGTGTGAGTAAAGAACTTGTTCGTAATGCATACGCACGGGCTTGATAATATCAGTCCGTTCGAAGAAACCGTCTTTTCTGCGATTCCAGAATGTCAAGTGACCTTTCCCATGTGTGATTAAGAGATTGTCGTCGAGTGGATGGAAAGCCGCTCCTGTCAAATCCTCCTGCAGGGTCTACGGCAATATGACAAGTTTTTCAATTATTATTTTCGAACGACGAAAGGGACGGATACGAAGAATAGAATAATTCATTATAAGAACGTACTGCAACTTTGCCAAGAAGATGTCCCCATTGCCACTGCCACACCGAGAGAATGGATTCTCTGCCAGCGTCAACGACGAGGACGTAACTTCCGCCGTTCTTTAAAATAGGCCACAATTACCAAGTTAAATATTTTATTATGAGGCTAAGTTATTTTTAGTATTTGCCAATCAACGCTCCAATGTCTTTCCAATGCTTGAAGATGAGATGAGACCACGATAGGCAGCATTTACATCATTTACGTCAATTAGGTAAGAAGTTATTTGTAAAATCATTGGCATTTTTTGACGAAAGCACGACGCGTGCCTTATGAGATTACGAAGCATCCAACTTTTAGACAGTTAAAAGACGACATTTTTTTATTACTCGAGATCGATAGGCGTGATATAGAGAAGAGATGTGGCGCGATGGTACGCGAGCGTTTCGCAATTTTTAATAAATGAAAATTTCAAAGACAATCTCCCTTTAATCAGTCGTTCGAACACATTTTTAAAATTATTCAATCATTAATAAGAGTGAGTGACAAAAGTAGCGCGAAGTAGTTTTTCTGACGTAATGATGTCGAATGTCGTAAAGTATGGTAAAGTCTCGATGAGTTAAACGTGGCATTAATAATATCATCTCCATGTAAATATTATTCTCTTACAACATCCCTTTACGTATTACAGGTGAAAAATATATCGTTTCGAGATACGGCCGACGTTCTTACATTGTGCGAATTAATTAATCGGAAAGAAGGTAAAAAAAACATAAAAAAAGAATTTTTTTTTGCAAATATTTAAAGCAACGATTGCAACCTGACAATAAGACGAAGATAGCGACGACGTGGATGTCGAGGAAAATGCAAATGCTTAAAATGTCCTTTACCAGTTGTGAGAATGCGAGAGCGGAAACTCCCATTTGAAATTCCGTCATGCCGAAGACGTAGAGTGTGAGTAATGTCTCGGTGGACCAGATCCTGACGTGGGGCTGCGCCTTCCTGTGTCTGCCCGCGCGCTGCCCGGACGCTACGAGTTCCCTGCTCGGATGCACCTACGCAATCCAAGGCTTATCGAGTTAACATGCGTATCTTCTCGTTGCCCCCCCCCCCTCTTCCCACTACTCCTCCTCCTACTCCCGTACCGCCGCCACCACCACCACCACCACCACCACCA